ATGTAAAAAAAAAATATATATATATATATATATATATATATATATATACCCAGTGACACAACAAAGATAGTAATAAGAATATATTGTATTATAGCCTAATAACAACAACACAAGAACAACAGTCTGGAGATATGATGAAAATGAAAGCGGAGTGCTTCTAAACAAAGTCAGCACAACTTTAATGCTTTTATCTCTTTTACATCATTGATGTAGAAACACATTTTTTACTGAAAAGTGTTTTATTCCTGTACAGGAATTGATTAAATAATTTATTTCTGTTTTGCCAAAAGAAGCAAAGCAAATTCCATGTTTTGCATGCAAGAAAGTGCTCGATCTGTATTGTTCTGATTACCAATGTTCAAAATATCTTCTTGTGTACATGACAGAATGATGATTTTTGGGTGAACTATCACTTTAAGAGCTCTATAGTGTAGATTGGGGGAAATGCCTCTCTTAAGACGTTATATAGTATAGTTTCACAAAGCTAAAATCAGACCATTCTGTCTTTGCTTCAAACTTCAACCCTTTTGAAAATTAACCATGGTTTTACTACAAATAAAACCAAAAAACATGGTTACTATAGTTTAGGGCTGGGCAACTTCGGTCCTGGAGGGCCACTATCGTGCAGAGTTTAGCTCCAAGTCAACCTAAACAAACTAATCAAGGTCTTCAAGATAACTAGAAAGCTACAGGCAGGTGTGTTTGATTAGGGTTGGAGCTGATAGTGGCCCTCCAGGACCAGAGTTAACCAGCCCTGCTACAGTTAAACACGGGCTGCATCCAAATACTGAAAAATGCTGCCTTCGGAGGACACATTCCAAGGTAGGAAGGCATCAAGGCACGTCCGAATCCAAAGTTAGCTTCACTTTCTGTCTCATACCTTCATCTGATCGATTTTTGAAGGCAGCAGCTTCGCTGCCTTCGCTGCCTTTGATATCCCACAATCCTGTGCGTTCCATTCAGTGATGGTTGAGCTAAAATGGCATCAGATGGCATCAGAAAGTTGTGTTTGTGGCCAGTTTGTGTGTAAATGTATATTTCTGATTAACGTGTTGCATTTTTGAAGTTATTTATAGTGAGGAATCAGTATTATAGTAATTAAATATTAGTTAGTTATCACCAAAACTTGTTCTATTTTGTTGTAGATCATTAAACGGTTACGCTGCCTCAGAAGCCTGTCCGAAATCAGTTTCACGAGGTGCTTTCGTGCAAAAACGCTGCGAGCGAAGTCATAACCACAAATTAAACATTAACTGTAGTTTCACAATGGTATTTGTAGTAAAACTGTGGTTATACAAATGTAATCAATACGCCAAAACCTTAGTTTGTGCATATGAAGAGATTTCTTTTATTTCTTTTATTTATTTGTTTATTTGGGATTTGTTTTAATGTTTCACTTTAGTTTAGTTTTTTGACATTTCAGTTTCACAAAGAAATGTGCAGAATTTTAATTATAAAAGGACACACTTTCATTTATAATTTGCCATAAACCTCATTTTGTAAAAAATAAAAAAATAAATAAAAAGTGAGAAAATCGTGTTAAAAGTCAGTATCATGAATTCTGTTGCATTGAGTTAAGTGAATGTTACCTACTGTTGACTGTTACTGGTTTAGGATGATATAAACTGAACTTGCTCTTGAACTAAAACCACTGGCTTCAGTTAAACTCTTCATGACATCTGTGTGATTTAACAGATAGAGACGGGCTGTAGAAATGAAATAGCACAGAGAACACTGCAAAAACCAACAGGACAGAGAGAAAAATGGAGAGCAAAAATGAAGCACAAATCAGTAAACCACAAGAGAAAAGCAGACAGAGACATACAAGATGGAGCAGCATGTGGGATATAAAGCCAGA